CTTCTCAGTCCTGAGTGTCTCTGAAGGAGATGGGAAATAGCATCAGAAGGAGAAGTCACAATTACACAGCAAGCAAAGAACATGGAAACATTAATATGCTGATGGCTGTCACATAACTTAATGAAAATGTGTTTTAGGAAGAGTAGGTAATTGAAACAACTTCTGGGTGCTCTCGCCACAAAACAGGGAAACATTAGCGTATGGAACTATAAAAAATAGAAGTTCTCATGCTGTGGAAACAAAGCTGTATTGCACATCTGGCTCAAATGTTTCAAAATGACCATTAGCCCACCATTCATTTTGTAATGCTGAATATTTAGGAAGGAATCCTTAAAATACCCTTTCAACATGATTCATGATTTCCTAATGCATATAAGCAAAGGCAGTCACCACAAGGTTCTGTTGTGTTCTTACCATCCTAGTACAGAACAATGGTCTGTCATTCTAATTATCTAATTTGATACCCTTAAGGCAGCTGCTTTCCTACTTGTATTCCCATAGAGAAACAGCATTATAACCATAAAGCGATAACTTAAGGGGGAAGGCCAAAGTGAAACTGTCCAGAGCAAGAACAGATTTCAAAAATATCATATAGACTACAAACAGCTTGATACAAGCAGCAAAGTAAGTACAAGCAAACAGCCTGGAAAAGAGCACACCAAAGGGCAGGCTGGCAATATGATTTATGCTCAGCTGAATGGGGAAGACCTGGGTTAAGCCTCAAAGCTTGAAATCTCACCGTGGGACTGGGGATTGTCAGAAGGATGAAGGGTCTGCTGCACCATCCTCATTTAATGATGTAAATGGCACAAAAGGAGGTCTCTGAATAAATTCAGCAGTACAGAGATGCCATGCTGCAGGCTAGGAAGTAAATCATAGAGAGATGGTAGAAAGCACAGTGCTTTGGAACTGTATGGCTTAGACATAAAGGTCACCCACAGCAAAGCACAGAGCTTAGTGAGAGTCTGGAAAGAACCTAGCAAACATGTCAAAGCAAGTTACAAACTCCTGGCTGAATCTCCTAAGACCCAATCATGTAAGTCCCTAATCGCAAAAGCAGTCTCAACAATTTCAGTGAATAGCCGGCATGGATTTAACCTTGCATCTTCAGATCCACATATTAAATAAGCTACAAAAAAATGACTGCCTAACAGCCACCAAATAAGAAAGTACCATTAAAGCCTAAATAATGTATTCATAAATCCAACCCAACAGCTGCAGGGGCACATCAAGGGGCACATCAAGAAGTACTGATAGCCACACCAGGGGAAGGGAGCACAATTAGGCTGCAGCTACCATTGTTCCAGCAATCCTGTAAAACCAGCTCTTCATTGCAGAGGTTTTGCTCAGTACAGATCTCATGCAATAGCACTATGTGGTTTGGGAAACGAAACTGCGCAGCAGAGTCAGGCAGCTTCCTACAGGCTTCCCCAAATCATGCTCATCGGCTCCTAACATTAACTTCTTCTTTCCTCTGCTCTTGTTCTTCTATTTAGCTGAACGCTCCTGTCCAGCCTCCCACAGAAAAGATAATATCAACAGGATACTGCATCAACTGCTTTGCCTACCCTTACATACCCGATGAAAAGCTCTTAAGGCCAGGACTGACTCACAGTGGTGTCCCCCTAACACTCTTTTTGGGTTAGCTGTTACGACATCCTTATTATGTGACAAACGTAATACCTACACCTTATTCTTCCCCACACTTCTGCCTCTGGCACAACTGATACAAAGAAATTTGCTAATTTGCTTTCGCAACACAGAACTGGAGTAGCAGGCTCATGTTTGAATGAACTATTCAAAAACGTGGCAGCTTCATTTCCCACACAAAAGCAAATAGTACTGTCAGAAAACAGCTGTACTCCCAGGTAAGCCTTCACAACAAAATTATAATACACTCTTTTCATCTTGGAAAAGAGGAGAAAGCTTCACCTAATAGAAAAACTAGAAAGAACCAAGCATATAAAGGTGGAAAGCAGATCTGTAGAGACACGTATTGGCAAATTGTGCTCTTGCCGAGAAATTAATTTTCCACTAAACTGGTGAACATTTGCTGTGTTCGTAAATACTGCACAGCTGTGCTAAAACAGGAAAGCAAGCCCAACACACCTATCATTTGATAAGAGGTTTCTCTAGTGATTCACCAAAAATAATTAATCAAAATAAAAACATGGCCAAAATTAGCACTGCTAGCTGTCGTGAGCAAAAGCTAAAGGAAACACACTGACTAAAGCAAATCAAAGTTACTGTATAACCAGACCTCCACAAAAGAACTCTCTAGATTCTTCTACCTCCTATTCTGAGGATTATATTGAAAGCAGTATTTCTCTACAATAACCATCACTGGAAATAACTTTTCAGTACAGTGTATATGATACAAGTCCACAAGGATCAGAAGGAAAATCTGAACAGATGGGATGTTTCTGGCATTTGTAGTGACAATGGTGTTTTAAAATTATTTCCTGAACCCACAGGTGTTTTTCTGCCTTGCCTGACAACAGCCAAAAGATACAAAACAAAAGCCAGTAATATTTTTCTTTACATCCACTGAAAACTAGTTATTGCCAGCCAGCAAGATCATTTCTACAATATGCAGAGCAGTCTTTCTATCCATTCTTAGCACCAAGCACTCCAGTGGATACCTTAGGATAGCAAGATCCACTGCATATCGGTAAAAGGAACTAAAATTAAGACCTCCCAGTAAAGTCTGAAGCATTTGGACAAAGCTAATGAAAATATTCTGGAGTAAACAGCAGTTTCTACACTGAGTTCTATGTGCCCAAGATTTTATTCTCTACTTATCTGGTATTGTCTCAGCTTCAACAATGAACGTGGCAGATTCACTTTCAAAAATATCCTACCCTCTATGTCCTAGAAGTTTAGGCAGATTTTGCATCTGAAACTTTCCATAGTTTCTAAAAGTGGATTACTGACCTTCTGTGAACAAGGAGAGAATGTTGTCATTTCTACCTTACTGCAGCATCAAGTTAGTTGCTAAAGGGCTAGGCTGGCAAAGAAGCCTAAAGGCTCTTTCTTAATAGATTGCCCAGATTTTTGAAAGATGTTCCAAGGCTAAAATTTCCGGACTTCTTACTTAGTTCCTCAGCAGAAATGGAGAATCTTGAGACACAACCTCCTTTCCTCCCAAGGAAGACATTTAGGAGAGAACTATCTCACAGGAAGAAAAGCCACAGCCTTCCAAGTCTGTAAATTCACATCAGAATTGATTTAGTAACTCCATGGCTGCAGCTCTTGCCTTTAGTTGCAAAATTCATGCTGTCCAACTACAATTACATATTGAACATCAACAAAAAAAATAAAATCGGGATCTGTGGCTGTCCAAGTGGGAAAGGACCAGTTACAGCAAAGTATCGAACACATTTTTTCTCAAACATTCGATGGCATCTAAGACTGTGCAAACCAAAATGTCTTCAGAAAGAGATTAAGGAGCTATAGTAACCACTGCACAAACAGTAGTTAATGGGCGGCTCCAGTGCAAAATAACCTCACAACTCTGGCCTAGTGTAACATGAGTACACAGGCCAAAGTTTCTTCATCAGTTCGAAAAACAAAAATGAGATGGAAAAATCCACTTCTGTAAAACACGCATTTGCCACTAAAATGCAAGTGAAGAGGTCACTTTCACATGGGAAGCTGTAAAAGTGTTTAATTTATTAATGAATCTTTACAGATTGATAATCTGTTCTCTTCTCTGTAAAACACATGGATTTCATTTGCTCTTGGGAAAATGACCAAATGGAAATTTTTTTCCTTAAAGACCCGAGAGCAAGTTGTTATTACAATACTCAGATGACTGATACGTGGCTACAATGCTGAAAATCCAAGTTTTGTTTAAAAAACAGGAAAAAAGAAAGAAAAAAGGAAGAAATTACCTCTATAAACTATGCACTAGGTTGTTTTGCAACATTCAAAACCAAAGGCACCTCATATAAGCTGAGACTCAAGACTTACAGGTTTCTCTTAGCTATTTTACTAACTTGCATTGTGGTCTTCAGTGCGTATTTTTGCATAGTCCCAGGTACTGATCTGCTAAATTGAACATAAAATTACTTTGAGAATCTCAGAGAGCAGTGATACACACAAATTTTAATGACTCTCCACTCGTTCAAGACAGCTGGGTGTTTACTTACAGGTAGCATTGAAAATTTAGCTGAGTAGTTTTGATTCCAAAATAACCCAGAAAGTGCACTATGAATTCTGGAGTGAAGATTTTAAGAATTCAGTAAAGCATCCAAGAAAGGTGATTTTAAACAGTGCATAAACAACATAACTGCAAGTATCTGGATTTCTGACCCACGTCTGAAAGTAACTAAAAGGCATGTGCTGCTGTAAAAATTAATAAAACAAAACCGAAAACCTCACAAACAAACAAACAAAAATCTCATGTTAACAACATTGCCTGAAAACCCTCTGCTAAACCAAGTCTACCCACAACTCCAGCCAGCAGAGAGGATTATAACCCAGATCAACCATTTCTAATGATAAACGTAATTATGCAGTAATGTACAGCCAACAAATTGGTCTGAATCTATGATAAGCATTCAGATGCACACTGTAATATACAGTGATGGAGAACAATTACTTGAGGAGTTTGTATCAGCAGATTATCCTAGTAGCGAACAGAGGAAACCTCTGTTGCAGGTTCTTGATAGCACGTTTCACATTCAGGTGTTAATTTTCATTTATGTGCAATTTCAACACCATCAGGCAGCAGTATGGGTGATTACAGTTTTTTATTAAATCAATGGGTTGCTTCTGTTCACCACTTATATGTAACTTTCTTTGCTTTTCCAAAGTGACAAACACATTCTTTTCCTTCCGATTGACGGGGAAGTTCAAACTTGCCATCACACTACAGCATGAGGATTTTTATTTACAAATCTGTTTTTCTTCCCTCATAATCCAAACACTCATTCCAATTTCACTTTATAAGCTTTTAAGGTAAGACATTATAATTTAAATTTAAGTATAGTACTTACGGTTGGCATAATTTTACCAGGTCCTGATCAGTGGTGTTTGGAGGCAGTGCTCTGATGTAAAGGTTTGTTTTACTTAATTGATCCCATCCTGAGTTGCTGTTGCTACTGCTGTTGTTATTACTGCTGGTGGTGCTGGGACTAGGAGGAGCCATTGGGTGGGCTGGTACAATGGACTGCTGCAAAGAAAAAAGCATGTTAAACTACAGACAGCACTTGCAGTATGCGCATTAGCCCAGTGTACAGTAGCCTGTTTACCATTTGCAGCTCTGTGTAAAATCGGTACATAATTATTCATTTATTTTAAATACACCTGCTTTCACACCATGTTTGGGACAGGATTTACAAGCACATTCTAGTATACCCAACAACCATATGAAGAACACTCGATGCATGACACAGGCTCAAATTACATATAGCCTCTGCTGAATACTCATAGAATTTTGCACTCTTCATTGTGGCATCTGATGTGAATACGAAATAGGAGATATTGTTCCTCTAGGTTCCAGCAAGTGTAAACCAAGTTTACATCACTATGACTACTTCACGTCCATAAATGGATTCTTGTGGCACACATGAATAATACGCTATTTTCTTAAACTATGCAGAAATACAAAAATAAGCTTCTTTTACGTCTCTTCATGCTTTTAGTACTTCACACAATACTGCAACTGTGGGGTTTTTTTTTTAAAGATAGAGTGACTACAGACAGCTTAAGGACCAGACTTGGAATTAACTGTGTGCCTTGGCAGAGCTATCACCTTGCTGCTGACCTCAGTATGTGTGGATTATTTCAGCGTCAAGAAAAAAATTTTGTATAATGGCAACTAAAAAAATTAAATAATAAAGTTTCAGAAGTAGATAAGCACATCGGCACTTCTACCTAGTCCTCAAGGCATTAACGCAATTGTTCTTGAAATCAGACTCAAATGGAACATAAAAACATCCTGGAGAAAATCTGCAATAGAGCAGTCGTAATCACTTGCATTAATAACAGTACAACAGGACACTGTACAAGCCGTCATGAACAGGTCTGCGGTGTTGTCAGAGGAATACTTTAACAAATTACTGGAGAACTAAAGCTGCCAGTAAAAGTCTTGTGACTACAAGGTTTTCACTGACAAAAAGAATTGGCTGCATGCAGCCCCTGTCCTGCAAAAGCCTGAATGAGCTTCTACGGCTCAAGAAGCTCATACCAAAGAACCACCCTGTGAACTGCAGAGGGAAGAGGGGGTGTGTGTGTGTGTGTGTGTGTGGGGGTGGGTGTGTGTGTGTGGAAATAAAGTGGAATATAAAGTGAGATGTCACTGTAGACTCACTTGTTCCCGCCCTGGTGCCACCCTCTTCTTTGGGCTAATACAAACAGTTGTGTAGCCACAGCCTGAACCAAAAAAATGATATTCCCTGATCTGGTTCACCACATGTGGCTTTGTGCTACGCAAAAGCTTTGTCTGTCACAAGGCAGGGAACAGGAATATGTAGGCAGAGAGGAGGAGATTGCAGTTTAGCTTGGTTTAAAACACCCATGAAACTACAGCCTTAATACACAAGAAAAGTGAAACTATTTTAGAGATAACCTCAGGAAATTGGAATGAAATTGTGAGTGGGAGGAAAGTACAAAGGCATACTTTATATCAGAAACCTCACAATAACTATGCCCTTCTTCTTTGTGTTTCCCTAAGAAGGTTTTGAAATCTTCCAGTTCAGCATATTGCAAAGTTAATTATGCAGCAGTAACAGCCTGGAAAAAGAAAACTCTGTAAAATCAACACTGATATGTAGAAACATTGTTGTTGCCTAATTTTATAGAACTGAAAATTACCAAAAAGAATGAAATATATTCCTGATCATTTAACATTTCACAAATGAATACTGGTGTTTCACTGCCATAGAGTTAGAGGGGTCTGGCGTTCAGGTTTTTTTGGTTGGTTTTTAATTAAGATTTTTAGAAACATCAAAAGCTTTTCCAGAAGATTCATACTTGGAATTGAAGCGCTGGTCTAGAATTTTTTCCAGGCATGATTTAAAATGGGAAAAAGATTAAATCCTCCCTCCAAATTTGTAATGGAAACATTGATGGATTTTAACTATAGCAGTGCAAGTTGGGCTGTCAGACTGTTCTGCTTCCAGTAACACCAGACAATTATTTTTAGGGTTACAAGCAAAGCAGAATGACAGAGCAACTACTTTCAAAACATCTTCATAACAAACTGAACAAACTTAGTCTGGCATGGTGCTGCTATTCTCTTCAAGAAGCCTTCAGTGGAGTTCTCAAAATGCATGCAGTGATCAAATACGCAACTGCTCCGCTCAAGCTTTTGAGACATACACTTTCCTTTGTGCATGTACAGCTGCCATAAAAGTCAATGTACATGTACCAGTTTTCATCTTAAACAGTAATTACTACAGGAGACTAAGAGCCTCTATTCTGTATTTCAGTGTCTTTTTTTTTTACTTCTTACAGTGTTTTTTCCCCTTAAAAATCTTCGGTTTTCCACATTCTGAAGAACTGGGGCTTTGTAAAATTTTGTTCACAGCTGGCCAAAGACAGGACAGGAAAAAAAAAAAGCAACGTGTGTCTCGAGAAAGCAGGAATCTTAACTCTGCCTTCCTGTAAAACATAAACACTCCATTCTGAGAAATTTAAACTTTTATTTAAACATGAAGATGCTCTCATGCTAGTGGTCACATCCAACTATGATGGGAATGTAGATGTGATTACAGTTGTCTTCCTAAGTTTACAGATGGGAAGTTTTTCACCGCTTTCACAGAAACTCATACCTCTACCAGCCTTAAAGGCTTTACAAAACACAGATGCTGGGGACTGCAGCTCTCAAATCCTGCAACCCAATGACACAGACAATCATTAAAGGGGCAGTGACATCTTAAAGCCATAAGACTTAAACACATTTTTTACATTAGAACTTCATTTGAGAATCTGAATCACTCTTTCCACTCTGTTCCTCATCGACAGCTACTTGTAAAAACTAAATTAGAGGGGTCCCTCTTTTCTTTAAAGGGGCTTTTCTTTCCCAGTTGCTGCAAAAGGCTCATCGGCAGTGCAGAGCCTCACCGCTGGAGCTGTGCTGGCACAGCCTCCTACGCTGACAGCCCACGCCAAGAGAAGAGTTTTCTGCTGGCGTAGTTGCATCACATCCCCAAGCGACATAAACTAAGCTGATACAAGTTCTCTTCTGCCACCACAGCTGCATCCACACCTGGGGTTTTGCCAATGTATCAATGTCAGCAAGGATGTATGACTTTTTTCCACACCCCTGGCTGACAGAGTGCTGCTCACTGGCAAGACATTCTGCAGTGGAGACCTGGCCAAAGTTCGGGGTTGTTTGTTTAGACACAGCTTTCACAAACATGAACTGAAAGCTTTTTATAAAATCTGAAATCAATTGTGAAGAGCTTTGCTTCGCAAACTGTAATCTTCACTGCAAATCCGTATCAAAATCTGTTCTTAAAGTCAAATGGACTTCACAACAGTTTGCAATAATTTAATGTACATAAAACCACATTCAATAATTTTCCTTTTTAGTAATTGCATCTTAAATTAAAACATTCAACAAAAGTAGAGGAGGAATAAATCTAAGTAACAGACCATTATTTCTTGTGACAATATTGCTGTACACAAGAAATACCACTGTCACACTGGTTTGCCATTTCCTCCTTAGTCTTCATTCCCAAAAGTAATTGGCAATCATTCCTTCTCCTCAGTAGTTTCCTCCCAGTCATCTTCAACAGCTAAGCAAAAAAGACCAGTGACAGTATAATCATCCCATATACTGTATGACCACCCTATCCCATTCTGGAGCCAGCTGTGAGGAGCTCCCAACACTCTTGGCCTGGTCTCCAAGGGACCTTCCCTCCAGCTCTCCATCCCTCCACAGCCCAACTAGAGCAGTGGGAAAACCACAGGCACTCACTAGAAAAAGGAAAAGCTCAGTGACAGAAGAGTCCCTGTGGAATGCCTTGAACCAAGGAAGACTGTCTGCCTGTGTTTTCTTCTCAGTATAAAACCCAAACGGGAAGAAAACACAAGTACTGAAAAACAACTGGAGAAGACACCCATCTTTGCATGAACCATTCCTGTCTTTCTTATAAACCACTCTATACTTAAGGGCTGGAAAGGAGTCAGCGCAGGGTTTTGCCTGCCAAGGAGAAGTATCTCTTTGCTGTCAACAGGAAAAAGCCACATAAAGAAAGAAAACAAAACAACCAACCAAAACAAAATGGAACAACAGTGAGAAATTCCTTTGACCTGGGAGCTGAGAGATACTAATCCTTGCTGCCTTCAGACTACAAAAGTCCAAGGAAACTCCAACAAGCAGAAGGTAACTCGGGTAACAACTGTCCCAAAAACAAAGCATGATTATTATGGTAGCATTCCATTCAAGTCTCTAACTTTGTGTTATTAAAAGCATGTCTATGAAGTTATACAACACACTAGCATTTAATTATGAGTTCTTTCACTCAGCTAAAATTCCTGATGGGAAAGTACCATGACTTAACAACAGAGTTCTCACACATCTACTCAAAATTCAAACCATAAATTACAGCACACATTAACTATCTGATTTATCCTGAACTGCTGCTTGGATCATCTCACAGTTTCAAAATCCTGACACTGGTGTTTGCCTAGCTTTGGTTCAGGTGATTAAGCTTCAAGTACCTGCTTACGCTGCCTGGTTTTGCCTAACCTTCCTGATTTCATTAAGTAGCATTTTGAAACAGCACCTTCAGTAACAGGGAGATATAAAAATTACCACACATTTTTGTAGATGTGTGTAACTGTTAAAAAGTATTAAATTACATTAATTTGGAAAAAAAAACTAAAACACAACCCTTTATTAAATTAGGGGGTGATTTTTTATTTATTACTCAACACAGAACTTTACATGTACAATGAAAGCAAGGGCTCAGGAAAATAGAAGATGCCACATATAGTGAAGGAAGACACTGCCATATTCAGTGCATAACTTCAGAAACAGGAGGTTGGTTGTAATAAAATCATGTCCTGAACAGAAAGAACTCCAAATGTCTAACAGAAATGAGTGTTCACTGATGAATACAGTTGCTTTATCACTTTCCTATAGATGAGGAAACATTAAACACTTAGTCTAAGCCTGCACCTCTCTAGCAGAGATGCCATTTTGAGTGTCCTGCACTATTC